TTTTTTTGTACGTGTGTGTGTGTTTAACTAGACTACACTTGATAGATAGGGTTATTTTAGCTTTCCTTTGGGGTCTCACATCGGTAGAATTTATCTTTAGGGCCCCGAATCAACAATCCACACATCTTTCCGGACTCATAATGACAATACTCATGATATTGCATCATTTATAGTTAAGAGTAATGCTGCTAGGAACATAATATTGTACATAGGGATATACATAACACTCACATTGAGTGGACCTACAAAAAGTTAAAAATCAATGGACCCCACTTTATGTGAGTATTATGTACACTTCTATGTCCGGAACATTTTGCAGATACTTTATGCAATCATTTAAATAAAATATCTCAGGCCCGACTGTTGCTTTTGGGTGATTGAATTTTTCTTCACCTCAGAAAGAGAATTGTCTTGCCATTATCTTTCTTTTCACCGCATATCTAACTCTAAGAAAAAGCTCATTAATCTTCTTCCATTTCCATCACTTGAATCGATAAACACAAAATATGCAGATAACGACTAAACAAAACACCGAGCATGCCCCGAGATAAACAATTCAAATACATGGACACCCAAGCTATAAACAAAATGATATTACACCTGGTCAATGGTGCAGTTTTCATACACAAGTTTCTTGAATAAAGCAAAACATGAAGATACACGATGCCAAAACAAATTTTGTTCTACGAACTTACCCGACGTGTACCTTTCTAGTCGGCAGAATATCCGAACTAGACCACATGCTGGCCCATGTCAGCTGTTTCCCGAGTGCCTAGCATATTTCAGACCATTGTTGTATATATGTGATTTTATATTCCCCAGTCTGAGAAAATCACCTTCTAAGATGAGATTTTTAACCATACGACTGATCTCTATTAAGGGCAACCAACAAAACCTATGTCTTCACACACCCACTCTCAAACTCTTGGTTAAATACAACTTGAATCGATTTTCGATGTGTAAAACCCAAGTTGTAACAATATTTTCACTCCAAGCTAGACACAAATCAAGAGGAACAAATAAGCTCGTCGATGAACTTATCACCCGCACATAACTTCTCGAACTAAAACTTCCCAAGAATCCGTACCCAAACTCATCCCCCTCTTTTCCATCTCCTCCAAAACAAAACAAGCACCGTCCATATCCCCACTCCTCAACAAGCCAAGACCCATAGAACAGAAAGTCTCAACACGTGGGGCGTGATTGCTATGTAATGTCGCATTCAAAACCCTCAAACCCCCGACAAAATCCTCACCTCTACAAAAACAATCGACCACCATCCTGTAAGTGACGGCATTAGGCTTGCAGCCATCGACCTGCATACCCACCAATATTTTATACGCGTCCGAAGCCAAACCTTCTTTACAAAAATAGTTAATCAATATATTGTACATAACCACATCGGGTTTTATCCTTCTTTTCTTCATCTCGGCGAGCAAATCTTTTGCTTCATCTATTAATCCTCTCCTGACGAGATCCGTCATCAAAACACCGTAATTCACGAGCTCGGCTTTGCACCCGTGGTACTCCATATCAAACATAGTTTTCTTGGCCTCTTTAAATCTCCCCAAACCACACAAACCTTCCATTAGCAGAGCATACGTGACAGCATTCCCATGTTTTCCCTTGCTTTTCATGTCGTCGAACAAAATTTTAGCCTCGTCAAATCTACCCCTTTTGCACAAAAAACCGATCTGCGAATTGTATGTCACGACCGTGGGCCCCAACTCCCTCTCCAGCATTTCGTCGAACACCTTGCGTGCTTGCTCCCAGTCCCCGTTTTCCAACCACAACTTGATCATGATGTTGTATGAGACCGCGTTCGGCCGGAACCCCATTTCGCGGCCACGTTCGAACAGATCGACGGCTGCCGGAATCCTCCCGCCGGCGGCCAGAACGTTCAGGATCGTGTTGAAGGACTGCACCGTGCGGGGGCAGTTGAACGACCGCCCCATGTCGTGAAAAACCTCGACGGCCCTGTCGATCAGGTCGGCCTTACCATAGTGGCGGATGAGCCCGATGAAGAGGGGTTCGCCGCACCTTATATCGTGGGCCCGGAGGAAGTCCAAGACGGTCTCGACGTCGTCGAATTTTCGGGCCCGGGCCAGCCTGTAGACGAGGGAGGCGTAGGAAGGGTATCCGTGCCGGTGGCCCGCCTCGTGAAAATCGCGTAGGGCGGGGAGGAGATCGTCGGGATCCCGGCAATTTTTGAGGTGGTCGAGGAAGGGGATGGGCGGCCGGAGCTGGTTTCGCGACGGCTTGTGCGGCCGTGGTCTCTGGGGTTTGGTGGGTTTTGGGCGGGAACCGGCATGGATGCGGTTGGGGAGAGGTCGCGTCGGATTGAATCGGGAATTTATCATTGTTTGTGAAGATTTTTTCTAACGTAAATTTGTGATAGAATTTGTCCACTGTGAGGGTTAAGAGCTCGGGCCTGTGTAGACGGTGAGGTAATAAATTTTAAAAATTCAACTAATTTCAAATTCAAAATCTTCAACGCTGAACCAATTGAACCGGTCCCAGTTCAACCAATTTTAGACCGGTTCGAATGGTTTTGAATCGGTTCAAACGCTCAGCAGTTTTATGGTTCAAGCCGGACCGGAATGACGGCCGATTCCCGGTCCAACCAGTTGAACTGAATGATCCGGTCCGCTCCGGTTTTCAGAACAATGACAAATACGTAAATCATTTACCTGAGGATGGTCAGTGCCCGTGTAACGGCCCCCAGCCTGTTGTGGAGGATCAGCTTGGTCGAGTCGTTTACCTGGACGTGTCTGTGGCTGTGGTAAAAATTAATTGTTTTTTTCTTGGTACAGGGACCTTCCGGTTTCTGGATCCACAGGGGAACCGATTAATCCGGAATCGAGTCGGGTAGGACCACAAGGGCGGCAAAACTCTCCCTCAAGAGTTTTAACACTGCTGCATTCTCAGGGTTCGAACACGAGACCACTGGTTAAGCTGGAAGAGACCCAAATCATCTCATCCAAACGCTCTTGGGTTAAGTGTTTTTTAATAAATATATATCTACTCAAGATAAATAGATAATTACATGAAATTTTATATTTTATAGTATAGTGTTATTATTATCACTAGGAGGCTCCGGCTGTGATAATTACATGAAATTATATATTTTAAAGTATTATTGTTATTATTATTACTAGGAGGCTTCGACTGTGCCTAACACAGCCGGAATGGCCCTAGTATTTTTTATTGTAAGAATTCTTTTGCATAAATATTGTTATACGAAATGCACTCAACCCATATTTTTCGGCTAGTGTTGTAGACAAAAACGAAGTACACCAACAAAAGATTCACTTGTAAGGCTTCCACTTACATCCATATAATTCAAAAGTCAAGGTGCCTTTGTTTGCATATGCATACATGTAGTTAAAACAAAAGTGACACCACATACTTATGTGCAATATATATTGTAACAAAAAACAAAAAATGCTCAAACCAAACTTCTCATCTCAACAACGTAGACCCAAAATACATGAACTAACGTATGAGCAACAAACCGAAAACAACACAGACACCAACAACACTAAAGTCACTTCCCTAGTCGACGAAATCAAAATCTTGTATCCAAGCCACATAAATTCAAAATCCACCGCCTCAGGCTTCAGCAAACAATGTTAACCCCACAGTCATTAATTTTCAGACTAAAAACCATAATTAAAAAAAGGAATAAATCAAAGAAAAACGTGCTCCTAGCAACAAGGGTGTGAACTATAAATATAAATGATAATATTAATAGAAACACAGCTCGCTTGTATTCGAAATTGATAGCCTCACTAAACAATTTAATTAAATGGCAGATTTTTTTTTTTATGATTTACAGTAATCAGTAACACTAATCTCATTTTGATTCATTACCATGTGCACGAGGAAGGATGGCAGGTTCAATGGAAGGATGGCAGGATTCTCCTTTCCTATATGCAACATGTCGATTAAAGATATGAGACTGTTTGCAATATTTTTGTGAGTGGATAAATTAGTAACCTAGCTATCCGGACTCGGGTCGTTCTCAAAGGAAGACTGTTCGGAGCGTCGTTTACTATCTAGTCGTCAATTTCACAAGACCAATAAAAAAATAAATTCCTAAACATTCTAAT